GCCCCCCACCCCCCAAGGTGGAAGTTACCCCAATTTTCTACTACTAGGAAAGAAACACTCTTTAGATGATCTATGTGCCTAGCAGTATCTTGACACAATTTGGCCTGGGGGTTATGAAAATACAAACAAAACTGTAGACCTATTTTATTAGTAAAATAAATGTAAGTTACTAAACAAAATATCAGCAAAGCATGTATCTCACAGCTATCAAACCGATGCTGACTCAAAGCAACCCCCTGTGGGTTTCTCAGACTGTAACTCTTTACAAGAGTAGAAAGCCCGGTCTTTATCCCAAGGAGCATCTGGTGGCCTTGAACTGCTGATCATAAACATCCCAGCCCAAGGCTTAACTATCACACCACTCGGGCTCCATAGCGTTTATAGGCATGCATAAAAACAAATAGCAAGTGACCAAGCTGGGTTTATCCCAGGAATACAAGGCTGCTTTTTTCTTCTTTTAAAATCCATCAATGTAATTCACCGAGTTAATAGAATAAAAGGAGAAAAGTATAGGTTGCATGAAGAGATGTAGAAGGGAGTAAAATTAAATATCCATTTATGATCATAGCTCTTAGGAAACTAGTGTTACAAAAGAACTTTCTCAACCTAAAAAGGAGTATGTGCAAACTAAAAAAGAAACAAAATCCTTAGTGTTATACTTAATGATGAAACAATAAAAAGTCTCGAACATCAAACACAGTGAGTTAGAATTACAATCAATACCTGTGTCACCAATAAGATCCTTTCCTGAGTGTCTTCAATCAAATTTGTAGGTTAAGTCGGGCCATGTGCATAAGGTTCTTGTTCAGCTTTAATTTAGTGCAAGAAAAAGCTTGAAGCTTTTTCAATAACTTACAAGTGGTCGATGCAGCCAGTGAAGATGAAGAACTTGTTGTGTGCAGGGTTGGGTCAATCATTTCTATGTGGGCAAATGTACATCACTTTAAAGGGCAAGTAGGAGTTATCACTGAGTCTTACAAGTTCAGAGCCAGGAAAATACCTTCATACGGAAGGTTGTAGTCAGAACACTGAGGCGAGATGCAAGAATAGGTATGGGAACTGGAGAGGAGTAAATAAAGCCATCACTTTTTGCACTGCACGACTGCCTATCTAGAAAATCCCAAAGAATCTGCAAAGAAATTATTACAAAGTGCTGTTCCATACGCAGAGCAACGTATTAAAAATCAATTGCATCTTAAATACCAGAATCAGTAGAAAATGCGACTTACAACGGTACGATTCTTAATAGCACCCTGTTGCTGCTGAGTTGATGGATTCCAACTCATCGCAACAACGCAGGTGAGAGATCTAGGAGGCATGACATTGAAAAATGCACATGATCATTCACTAAAACCACCCAACTATCTGGAGAGATATACCACATCCATGGACTGGAAGGCTCGAGCAAAAAGTTATTGCTTCTTCTATAACAGATCTCATTCTAGATATAATTACAATGAAAATTCTAGCCGATTATCTTGTGGGTCTGGAGGAGAGGGATCGAAAGGGCGTGCCACAGAATGAAACAGAAGCATCTGAGGAGTTAGACGGGAAATGAGCATCAGGCTCCTAGGGCCATGCGAGCTCAACACTGCGACGACGGCGGAGGAAGAGCAAGCACAGCGTGATTGCATTTTACGTGAAGGTAGAGCTCTAAACAACAGTGTTAGAGTTCGACACTGAAGTGCTAATGATTAAGAATTGCAAGGGAATACCGAACCCCAAATGGAAACAGATGAGTACCTGTGAGGGTACAGGGACTGGAATGGGATTGGGAAGAGAAACGCATCCCAAAAGGAGCTTGGTGATGGTTACTTTTAAAGCTGGGTGGGAGAGAGTGACACGGGGGTGGGGGTGGGGCGGTTGCAGTATTGATCTTCTTCCTGTTGTCGGTTTCATCCACAGGCTTTAGTTTTGCTTAATTATTTAATTTCAGGAAATCCATTCTTTCAGAAGGATCTGCAGCAACACTACCACAAGGAAGTTCGGGGTGTCAGGCCCCTGGTGGACGGCCCCCAGGCCACCCTCCCTCTCCCCGGGGAGCCTTACCTTGGCGGGGTTGAGCGCAGTGATGACCCACACGCAGTGTGCATTGTTGTCGTACTGAATGGGGAAATTGGGGGAGGTGATGATGCCCGATGGGCCTCGAAGGTGGGCATCACACATGCGGGCTGCGGAAAGGAGATGGAAGAGAAGCCTTTAATCTACACTTGGTCCAGCTCCCCTCCCCAGACCCCTCCCAGAGCCCTGAAGTGCCTGATGTCTGCACAGTCCCATCCGGGCCGAAACCTTCTGATTCAAGGGAAGTCAGTGTCCCTGGAACAATGGGGCAGGGCCAGCCACTGTGCTCTGTCCTACTGTGCCGTCCGCAATGGTGAACTTCCACAGGCAGCCTAAACAACCTGGCTTCAACCGGGTCCCTGCCCCTGCTGGGGCCAGCAGCTCATTTCCACCCGGAGGGGGTGGCTAACACCGCTCATGTTGACCGAAAGTTGGGTGAGCAGAGGAAGCCCCAGGCAGCCAGCTGAGGACGAGTTCCCTAGCGCCACTCATCTCACTTATACTTCAGTTCTCCAAAAACAGGTAAGCCCTGCTGGCCCCAAGTCCCTTTAGCGAGGCCTCTCAACCCTCTTCCGGTCCTGGAAGGCCCTGATTCCACCCTGGGAAACCTCTCAGTAGACTGTGGGGATGTCCTTGCTAGGACCACCCCATGAGGTCTTGGGAAATCTATGGCTAGGACTGAGCTCATCGGGGGCCCCCTGAGTGGTTTCAAGGGCTCCCCAACCCTTCCCCACACTCAGCTCATGCGTGGAACCGCTTTTGACGGGAAGCAGGAAGACTCAAGGTGAATTAGAAGAAGTGCTCCCACTCAAGTAGGTATAAAGTGTTATCAATCACAGCTTAATCTAATTAAGCGCTTTAAAATAGCTTCTAAACTAATTAGATTAAGTAGTGATTGATAACAGTTAAGGTACTACATCGTAGATTGTACCTAGACGTTTGCTTTCTCCAAAAACACGTTCTTTAGTTCTCGCACCCCATCCCTCAAGGCTGGCGCGCAGCTAGTTGAATAAATAGTTCTGAGAGCCCGCCCTGTTGCTGCTCACATGGCAATTTGTCCTAATTGTAGGCAAAGTGCCCAACAGGAAAGAAATAGCGAGCAAACCCGTGAAGCCTAAGTATATAAAATGAAAGCGGTGTCAAACTTGGTTTCCTCTGACGGGAAACATATCCCGGGGCTCCCCTCCCAGTGTGGACAGGCCCGTGATAAACCTTGCCCAGGAAACCCTTCCCAGAAGGGTCTGGGAAGCAGGCTCCCCAGCTCCCGGAGATCATTCGTCTCTCCTCATTTTGTGCACTCGTTCCTGCCCTCGCCCTTTCCAGCAGTTCCCGAGAGCCTGTTAGGGGCCAGACCAGACAGCCTCTGAGATGCCGTCCCTGCTCTGTGCGGGCGGGCCGTGGGCAGGTGGAGAAAACCGGAGGGAAGCTTACACGGAGTTGCAGTTAGAGCCGTTTGCAAGAGGCCGCTGGTGCAGACTTGCACATCCTTCTCTGAATTCTCCTGGTCTTCCCTTCATGAGGAAGGTTCCACTGACCACTCAGCCTGGCACCCAGCGAATCTGCTTCTCCTTGGCCTGACCTTAAGTCTCAGTTGAGTCAAGAGGAAACAAGCACACACGGACCCTCTCTCGGGTCCACTCCCCTCGTGTGCATCGGACTGCCCCTTTGATCTGAGTTGAGAAACACCTGGACTCAGAGATTGTACTTGCTATACCTGGGTCCGGAGTGAACTCGAAGGGTGAAACAGGCATAGGCTTTGGGGTTCACCAGCTGACCCTTTGGGTTTGAGCCCAGTATCTGTCGTCTAAACTGGGGTGCATTCTGAAACCCCTCTGTTGCTGCTCTTCCTCGGTGGACTGGGGCTGACGATGCCACCTCATCGGCTCCTGGTGAGGTTGGCACCCTGTCAGACAGTGGAAGTGAACCCCTAGCCCAGTGCCTCGGGCACAGTCAACCAACCCGCAGCAAAGGGAAACCCTACCTCAGGGCCAACTATTGCGCGAGTCTCAGATTTCTCTTCCGTTCCTTTGCTCTATGTCTGAGTTCTCTTCTCATGGGCCTTTTGTTTTACTCCCTGACCGCACCTGAGACTGTCCGTCAGCGTTGCTACACAAGATTGGAGCAGGCTAATGCCAACCAAGGTCACAGCCCCATCCCACTCTTGCAAGGGGGGCTTGCAGCTCCCGATCCCTGCCCTGCAGAGCTCCCTCACAACCACCCTCCACCTCTTCTGTAAGGGCAGCTTATGCTGCCCAAAGGCTTCCGATTTAGACTCAATTTATCCTGTGCTCGTTTCCAAGAATCAGGTGGTCTTTGCAGTCTGTTGAAACATGTGGAAGGTAATTAGGGAAAACAGGTCAGGAAGGCATTTGCCACTTTAAAGGTCTACTGAGATTTAATTAAAATGTTGTCATCGGCAGGTAGGCAGCGTGGAACACTTCTGTTGGGTGAGACTAGCGCCAGCTCTGTTTTCCCTCCGCTCCCTGGTCAACATCCGGGGGCCTGTAAGCAGACAGACTTCCCCAAGCAGCCAAATCTTGGGGTCTCACCAGCAGATGGAGAGCTCCTCACTGCCACCCACACAGACTGGCCAAATGGTAAGCGCTCAGACCCGTCTGGATAATGAACAAACACATCTCTACGTTGCCGCAGTTGCTCTTTTTCTGTAGCTTTCAGGGAATACTTCTCGAAGATTGTCTATGACTGAGTCCCACAGCCACCTCCACTCTTCATCTGAGCGTCACGATCTCATATAATGGGCAACAGGGTCCCAGGAGCCCTGAGGGAAATCTCCCCTGACCTAACAATGCCTTGGCACCATAGATTCCTTGTCTCCTCTCTTCTCCCTCATTGTAGTCCATGGGTCTTTCACGCTGCCTCCCCTGGCTTCTCCTGCCCCTGGCCTCCCTCTCTGCCCATTCCAGTCTGCTGGAGCTACCTGTCCACCATCAATTCTAAGGCAAATACCCCCTATCACCCCCCTGCCCCACGGCCTGCCACTGGGTATCTGCATCATCTTTCTGGACTGCCTGTTTCAACTTCTGCTTAACTTAAGCCCACTTCCCGCCGTTCCCCACCACAGCTTCCTGGGCAGCACTCTCTAGTAGAATTTTCTCCCCTCCTGTGTGTCTTCCCACAGGGCTTGGCTGCGCTTTGGGAAGGGTACTTCCCTGATCTCGAAGAGACCTCCACTCCATTGATAGCGAGCAACTTTTCTCTCTGCCTGGCAGCCCTCTCCTGTCTTCTCTTCTCTCCTTCTCCCGCTATTCTCCGAAATGATCCCTTTCTTGTCAATCTGCCCCCACCCTGGCCCTCCAATCTATGCCCCTTTCCCTTTGACTCAGAGCCTGGGAAATATCAATTGTGAATGAACCTCTCTATGTACATTCTCCACATCTGTCCCCGTAGCATTGAATTTTTCTGGAGACAGTCCCATGAGTAGGAAGAATGAGGTCACTATGAACTCATGATGACCCACCTCGAAGGATCCCGACTGTTGCCCAGTCACCTTCCCATTTCACAATATCAAGTTCATGGACTCAGTTTGCTCAAAGACTTTGTCATGGCTGCTGGACACCCCTCGGGCCCTTCATCCTGTGCTTCTTCCCCCTCTGCTCTCAGTTAATGACCTTGCCTCACTCTTCGTGGGAGAAACAGAAGCCATTTGGCAGAAACATATACGCTCTCATCTCCCAACTCTATAACCCCAGCTGCGTTATGCCCACCTTCTTCCTGTTTGCTTCTGTTGCAACAGAGGGATGGCCTCTTCTCCTTTCAGAGGCCAGCCTCTCCTCATGAGATCTGGTACCCCCTCAAGCTGCCACCCCAAGTTGAGCCATATCCACAGTCACACCAGGGACTGCTATCCTAGGAACTCGGGGTACCGATCTCTGAGAGCATCCAGCATCCACCACCCAAGCTCCTAAGCGAAGTGACCTCACTTTTGATGCACCTGCTATTCTCCAGGGTCCACCACGCCTGTCTGCTAACTGCAAAGCCCTCTCATTTCTTCTTCCCCTACTCAGTACAGACCACTCATCAATACCTGCAGCTCCACTCGGAAAAACGGAGCAATGCCTGCCTGTGATCACTCCCACTACCCTCCTTCCTCTAGTATCTGGGGCTACCAGAAAGGGGAGCTCACATTCATGGCTCTCATCAGAATGGAATCTTCAGCCCAAGGCACCCTTGCATTGGTTCTCTGTTCAGTCCCCTCCCCAAGCCCGGGAAGAGGCAACACCAACCATTTCCCAGTCCGGGGAGCCCCTTAACATCAGTGTTTTCTTTCCTGTCAGACTGCACACGACCTCTCTGGGGTATCTGACCTTCCTGAGCCTTCTCAGTGAAACTCGCATTCAATGCCTTCCAGATCCCACGTGGTCTTCTGTTCACTCTTCTCCCCACCCTCCTCAGCTTCCTTCTCAGCTGAAACCCCCTTAAAAGCAGTTGCTTAAATCTGAGCCAAAGGTATATGGGCTTTCTTTGGCACACTGCCTGTAACTTTTCTGTGACTTAATGCTCACATCAAAATAAAAAGCCACTCCAAAATGGGAAGGGAGAAGTTGTTCTCTCCACAGATCCAACCAATTTATAGACTGCAGGGAATGTCCAGGTTCAATTTTAAAGTCGTAGTAGGATTGAGCCTTAGAAGTCATGGTTTGAATTCCAGCTTAAGTGATTAGCTTTGTGCCCTATGACAAATAGCTGACCACTCTAAGCTCTAACTAAACATAAAAGATGGTTATTGCTGCTTTCCTCATAAAGAAAGAATGAAAAATGCCGAGTACAGTGTTATATACAATATAAATAGCTTGGTAAATGGGAGCTTTATCATTAGCACACGGGTAAGGGGCTCAGGGGCATTCTTGGGGCTGGAGAACTGCATGCTATATTCTAGTGTAGTTCTGTGGCACCTAAGGAGAACAGAGGCAAGGAGGGGAGGGAAGAGGAGAAGAGAGCAGGAGAGGAGGAAAAGAGAGTCCTGGATAATAACACTGTGTGGTAGTCACATAATCTGATGTCCACTTGAGACTATTAAGAGTGAAGGGGTGGAGTTTAACTTGTCAGTCAGGTCGAAGCTTGATGACCTCATTTGGAGGTGCTACGGAGA